ATCATGATGGGAAGGAGTTATCCCGAGGGCACCATTGGCCAAAAGGTGGCCCAGAGTCAGAAAGCTACTGTAGGTTATAATGTCCTTCTGTTCTGTGGGAATATGCTTCTCCATTCTGGAGTAGGATGCTGTTCCATGATGCTGAGACAACAGTGGACGTGAACTGAAGTAGGAGGTCAGCATATTGGTAGTTGATTGCTTGCAACATGATGGGGAAAAGGAACCACAGGAAGAAAGCCCTGAAACCCGTCTTTAAATGAGGGAGTACAGGAAGGGAGGAATAAAAACGGCAGGTGTTCCCTTGAGGGATACACTTGAACTTGGATTTCATTGTACTATCTGAGAGAGTTGAGCCAAGGCGCTAAGCCTCTGTCTACCGTCTGCTTTTGGGAATACAGAATGAATAGTTTTTGGTGCTGGGGGTGAAGCTTAGGCATAGCACATGTTACACATTAGGTAGGCACTGTAGTGTTGAGCTACATACCTAACCCTGTTTGTTTTCTTACTTTTTTTTTTTTTTGAGATAGCACCTTACTAAGTTGCCGTGACTGGCCTTGAACTCACACTGTCCCAGACCTTAAATTTGTGATTCTCTTGCCTCAGCCTCCTGGACAGCTTGGATAATCAAATCAGTCAAAAATCATGACTGTTTATTAAAAAACATTAAGACCACAGCTCCTCTTCATCCAATACTTCTGCCTGTGTCATTTCATAGGAACCCTGGCCTGTGGTGACATTTTTGTCACTGTTTAGTTGTGGTCTGACTGTCAGAAATGCAGCTTTATGAAACCAGACAGTATTATTCTGCTTTGGTTTTTAGCTTATTTATGGAATGGTAGAAATTTCATATGGGACAAACAGGTCATTCCATTTCCCTTCAATAACCCCTTTCAAACATGCGTGCTTATTTAATAACAGGAAGACAACCTGTGTAAATTTCTGGTCATTTTCAAAGGCGCCATCATTTTTCAGTGGTTCTTATGATGCTACACGGAGTGTCTGTCTGGTATCCAGGTGGGAGCAAAACCCACTCTTTTGAATCTTTTGGAGCTAAAATGCAGCCAAGTGAAAGGGCTGGAAAGATCTGAAGTGCTTGTGTTTGCCTGATCCAGAAGCATGGTTCTCATCTCGCTTGTCCTAAGACCATTACATCCCATAGGAGCTACAGTTCACAGAAGTTATATGTAGCCCCAATGGTTCTCTGACATGGAAACTCCTTTTGGAAGATGCCTGCAACTTTTATAAATGATTCCCATTCTTTCTAATGGTGTTCCAAGATCCCAAGTAAGGCTAACATCTAGTGTTCTCAGAAATATTGGAAATGTGTAAAAAAAAAAAAGGGGGGGGGCTAGGCTTATCCTGTTTATTGTTGTGCATGTTGACAGTAAGTGAGCTGTGTGACTGACATGTGCCCGATGCGCCTGAAATTCTCTCTTTGATTTGATCCAATTGAAGACAGACTATGAGACTATCTGTGATGATGCATCATGGTTGCTAATCTGACACACTTGGGAAGAGGGATCTTCAGTTGAAGAACTGCCTCGGTCAGACTGGCCTGTGGTCATGTCTGTAGTGGGTTTTCTTGGTTCGTAATGAATGGAGGAGGGCCAGATCGTGCGGGCAGTACCATAGCTAAACAGGCAGGCCTAGGTTGTCTAAGAAAGATAGCTTAATATGAGCCTGGGAGGCAGCCAGTGAGTCGCCATTCCTCCATGGGTGCTACCTTAGTGTCTGCTCCAAATTCCTGCTCTAACTTCCCTTGATGACGGATTATAACCTCCACGATAAAATGAACCCTTTCTTCCCCAGCTTGCTTCTCATCATGGTGTTTATCACAGCGACAGACAGCAAACTGGAACTGGAATACCAACCTTCCACCTAAATAGAGACCATGTCATGAATTCTCCTTCCTCCGCTTTTCTTCAGTTTTTCTATTTTAAGAACTTTCTGAAAATATATGAATTATGCAGCTTATCTCTCAGATGAAAAGGAATTTTCTGCTTGGATTGAACAGCTCCATATTTATTAATAGCAGTAAAAATTTCCATGTTCCTCGTCGCTGATGGGATGCTACGTAAACTATGAAGGAGCCATTCCAGCAAGGATAACAGCTACAGGAGAATAATTATCAAAGTTATATGGAATTGAAAGACCCTTTAATTTGTCATTACTTCTCTGCATTCAGAAAGGATCTGAATAACTATGCTGACTATAAAGGGAACTGAGTGATATTTTTCCTCATTATGAGATTAAATCCTTAATATGCCACTTTCACTACAAGTTAAAACAAAATCCCCCTAGCTGAATTCCAAGAACGATGCAATCAGGATTGATGACTGCTTGCTGCAGATGTGCTTGGACTCCTCACTGGTACCCACGGATGTGTGATCCAGGCTCATTTTCATTTGAAAACTGTTCATTGCCACAGTTTATGGAAATGGAATTATACTTATTTGCTCAGTATGAACTTTTGGCCTTTATATCACATTAATTCATGAAGTTGACAGGGACAGTAGAATTTCCTTAGGTCATGAACTATTGGCAGAAACCAAATGCAAGATTTTTTTAAATAGGGTTTTTCTTTGTAGAAGAACTATTTTTAAAAATGGCTGTGGTTTCCAAGATCATGTCAAGGCAAAATTTCAAAGCCATTAAAAAGAAAACAAGTACAGTCTCTTTTTCTGTGTGGTTTGCATTATACTAACAGCACTCAAATCCTTACTTAGATCCTAAGAATATTCTATGACAACATTTTTCTTGGAAACTGAGGTTTCAGATCTGAGTGATAATGTTCCATTTTGTAAATGTTGAAAATTTATTCATTAGATTGCCATCAAGGCTTCTGGTTCTCTGTACTGGAAGATGCTATCCAAGCTGCTGTGGGGGTATCCTAAACAGTATTACTTATCTATAAACCCTGTTTACTGCAATAATAACCAGTATGACAAGATATGCCCCTAGGTGCAGTAGTGGCGCAGATGTTAGAGGGTAACCAACTGCTTTCTAATAGGATTTAAGGCACACTCCATAGGAGGACACTCATGCCTGCTACTGCATATTTGGTCAAGAATCCATGGCTGAAGAGCTCACAGGCCCTAGGGGTAAAATCCACTAGTGCTATTTTGCCCAATGGACATTGTATCAAGGTGCCCTCCAAATTCACGGATCTCTATCTGTAGTTTAGTGCAGTTCTCATATCCTATCAGAGACATTTCTTGGTGCAGTTGATGTTGGTTGATGCAGAAGCTCACAACTGGGCAAAGTGCAAAGAGTAAATGACTGTGGCGTGCTCAGCCCCCAATAGGACATTTATATCACACCTCATCCCCAAGGCTCAAGGACCATCATGGAAGATAGGGCACAGAGATTGTAAGAGCTGAAGGTCAGCAAAGACCAGAGTGAAATAGCTGGTGTTAACTGCACATAACTTCTTACATGGAGGTGAGATCCTCTGTCTATTTCCACTTTTCAGTGCTGGGACACGCCCTGCCCTGGCTGGAACCTGTGTAGACCTTGCATATGCTGCCGCAGTCTCTCTGAGTGTCTCTGGAAGATACTGTTTCCTTGGAGTTATCTGCACCTCTGGCTCTTATTATCTTTCTGCCTTCTCTTCCACTTCTATCCCTGAGCCTTGAAGGGAGGGGTTTGATAAAGACATCCCATTTAGAACCAACTGCTTCAAAATCTCTCACTCTGCACATTGTTCATTTGTGGGTATCTTAGTTTATTCTCACCCACTGCCAGAAGCTTCTCTGATGGAGGTTGAACAAGATGCTGATCTGTGTGGATAGCAGTATGTCATTTGGATTCATTTGATTGCTATGTTCCTTTGACAGAATAATAATATTGAGTTTTCCTGTAAGCCCATGATCTATTTAGTCTCACAGTTTTGGGCCATTTTAGCAGTGTCAGGTCATGGGTTACATCTTATGTAGTGAGACTTAAATCCAGTAGGCAAGCCAGTGCCCCAATCAGACATATTTCACTACCAAGTTACAACTTCAGTATGAATCACATCTTGCTGAGTGTTTGGCCAAAGGAGTCCCCCGGTACCCCCTAAACATTACAGACTGCCATCAAGGCTATTGGTTGCTCTCCACAACCTGATGGTAAAGACCTATTGCTGAAGACAACACTTCATTATGGAACCATGCATGGTAGAATCATGCTGGTGCCTAACTAGGAGCTTTACCCCTACTAACTAGTGTTCCTGTTGCTGGAAGGTCCTATGCAAGCTGTCACAGGAGAAGGGTAATCAATATCACCCAGCTACAAATCCTTTGATCCACAGCAGCAACCTGTCTGCAAGATACACCAGTGCAACAGTGTATAAATGTTATTGGAGGAACCAACCACCTTTTGACATCTCTTGCTTTTCTGTTAAGATCATTTGGAAAGGAGCAAGTATCTGGATTGAGTGTAGAAGTGCAGACTTTTTGTAATATGGAGATGGCATTGATATTTCAGCCATTATATAATTCCTAAAAGAATCACCATAGAAGGCCTGGTGAGATGGTTAAGAGGGTAAAGTGTTTGGTGTACAAGCCCAAGGACCTGTGTTCTAATCCCCAGCACCCACATAAATGTCAGGCCTGGCTGTGTATACCTATAATCCCAACACTGGGAGGGTGGAGACAGGCAAATCCTAGGGCCTGCCAACCAGTCAATCTAGCCAAAATGGTGAGTTCCTAGCTGAGTGTGATACACAGTTTCAAAAGGTGGAAAGAAATAAGGGTAGAAGCTTGAAGTTGATCCAGACTGCCATACAGTTGTTCACAAGTGACCACACCTCCACATATGTGTACACACACACTCACAATACACAGAGAGAGAGGGGGGAGGGATGGAGGGAGAGAGAGAGAGAAAAAAAAAGATTCACCATCTAAATTCAGCCTAGTTTAAGTTTGATGGGGTTGGGGTTGAAGGGTGGGAGAAAGAGGGGAATGTCAACGTATATAATTATGGAAGAAAGTACTACTGTCCTCCTTTCTGTCTTACAGCCTGAAGAATAAGTAGTGAAAACATCAATCAAGAGCTAAGAAGAAATTGCAGCATGTCTCTGTGGCAGAGATCTGCTCACCAACTGCAAGAGGATCCTTTCTTGAGCAATGAACACTTCTTACAAGGATTCACAGATTAACACACGACCAGTCTTGATTTTTGAAAGTAGATAAGATTTCTTTTTCTTCCTTTCATTTAGTGGCAAATTATACTTGGATGAGTTTTAAAGAATCCTTTCCTGGTAACACGTTTAGCACAAGTTCTAAACTGCAATCACACAGCAGCTAGTCTGAGCATTATTCAAACTTACAAAGAGTGGAAAATTTAATTTCCAATTTATTCTAGATTTCCTTAGAGTTACCGTGATTCTGTGAGACCCTTCATGATTTTCATGTAAGTCTCCTAGATCCATTAATGAATATACTTTTGTCATCATGGGGAACATAGTTGGCGACAATATTCACAGCAACAAAACAAATTGTAGTTTGTGGAAGTTATATAATGGATAGAACACTGGTTCTTCTGCTTTACATCGATGAGACAGCCTTGCCTCTAAATGCCAGGAGCATGAAATTTGATGGAAACAGAGAGGAAGGACCTTCACTCTGGATCACCTTGATGGAAAGCTTCCCAAGATTAAGCCATGTTCTCTTTGCAAGCTGCCAGATCATAGCTTAGAAAAAGAATTAGTTTGATTGCATGATGATCCTATTACGTCAAAATGTCATCACAGCAGTTGACCTTGGTGTAATGCTTTACTAAAGGTATCCGAAGGAGAATTTTCAACCCCAGAGTGAGATGGAAGTAGTTCTTAGGAAATTAGCCTGAATTGTGGGCTTTAATTTGGGGTACTGATGATTTTGGGGGAAGAAGTGACTAAATCCTGAAGAAGCTTCATTCTTCTGTTTCTCTTCCATCATGTTGCTGAGCTGGGATTCAGTGACTTTGAAAAGATTGGCTCTGGGTAGAGGATGGACCAGAGAACTAGTAATCTTTGAAGGGATCAAGTCTGAGTACAGCTGTATAATTTCTTCTCCAGGGTTAATTGCTCTGCTTCGTGATGGGAAGTGGTGTCTTGTAGACACTACAAGGTAGATGCAGAACTTCTGTTCCTGGGCTCTCAGCTGGCTGGAGCAGCCCTTGACACCTTGTGACCACCACTCTGATGAAGTCAGACTTTCCCGGACATCATTGCTTTCCACGGAGGTCTGAAGTGGTTACAGCCAGTGAGCAATAAATGAAACGACACGGAAATGCACAGTGTTGTTCTTAAGGTGCCTGTTTTGTTGTGTGAGGAGGAGGTCACAGTCCAGAGGGACCAGACTGTGGCTGCAAAGAGGAAGGTCCCACACTATATACAGTCATGCTGCAGGTGGGGAGGAAGATGGGTGTGGTGACAGCAAGTTTATTTTGCTATCTTGGAAAGAAGCACACGACAGAGCTGCAATCCTCCAATGACGGCTTTTCTTCGAATGTGTGGAATAGAGCTTTATTTGTCAATTCTGCTGTAAAATAAGCACAGTCTGAGCTTTTTTTTTTTTACTTTTAAATCTTTTTTTCTGTTTATGTTTAGTGCCTGAGCTCTTTCCCTGAAGTGTTGTGTTTATTTTTTTTAATGACCTAAGATAGAAAAACCTAGGAACATAGATTCTCTTTGTGTTACAGTGAAGCTTTGCCAAGTCCTTTGTAGATAAACCTCCAGCTACAATAATCTGATTATTTCAGAGTGCCTCATCTAAATACCATTGCTCTTTGGCAAGCTGACACAAACACCCTACCAGGAATGTTCTTGGTTCAATCGTTCTCACTTTCACTCATGCCCATGCAGAGGAGGAGAATTTCATTCCAGCACACCATGAAGACTACTTGGCCAGACTACTTAATGCAGGAAGGCTCAGAAATGCCACTATGTCCTGGGAACTGTAGAATAGAAACACCTTTACTCGGAAAACTGTGCTGTTCACTGCTCCTTGGGTGTGGCTGTTATGTTTCATTGAGTCTTACGTTACTTTCCAATTTTGTTATGGGTAGATGGGAGTTGGATTTAAGGCAAATGTTTTCAAATGGCCAGTTAATTCTGCTGGAAAGGAAAGAGACCCATGCTGCCATCACTCTGGGCACTCTGGAACGACCATGAGGAACACAAATACCTACTGACCTTGTATTAAATCAAGATGTCTGTGTTCAATAGGACAGTTACTGATGGTTGATATAGTCAAACGTCTTTCTCTAGCTTCTCTTTTTATCCCATGACTGCATCTTGGGAATTTGACATGCATTACCCGTGTGCTCTCCCACCGAACCCCATGCTTACCCCTGATTTTTCAGGCAACTCAATCACTCCTTGGTCCTGGCAACACAATGCAAATTTGCTTTACAAAATGTCCTTCCCTTTTAGTGCAGAAATAAGCTTGAGGCTAGCACATGGGCCAGTGGTCACAAATGCCGTGGCAGTGAGACCCAAATTAATGAGCTCTCCTTACATACAGTCTCCACAGCCCAGTGAACTAATAAATATGCTCATAAAGCAATCCACTAAGCAGCAAATGCTGCCGTGATTCCTTCTGCTGATAGAGTAGCCATAAAACTCACCCACTGCGGCTGGACTGCAAGACCGATAGGATTTGAATTCTCTTGGCCTCTTCGATGACATAGAAACATAAATTGGAACTGTGAGGATTGTTGGTGTAAGTTTATTAGGCCAACCGTATCAAAAGGCAAGAATGATGGGACACATGAGAAACACCGACAATTCTGCAGAACCCTGCCCCCTTCTGTCAAGGCTGAGTGAGACATTTTTTGACGAGGCAGTGGGAATACAGAACACCAAACCCCAATAAGAGACTACTGGGTCATAACGACACTCCCACTAAATATCTGTTGTTCACTTGATCAGCTTGTCCAATGAATTATTTTTCTTTTGTAAGAATAAAACTAAGAAGGGTCTGTCTGTTCAACATATTATTGTAGGGATGGATTTCCCCCTCCCCTTTTCTGGTTTTGAATTTGTTCATATTCAAGGCATGTTAAACTACCTCATAGGTTTGTTGTGTGGATTAGCTAATTAATAAATAACAACTGCTTAAACTAATGAATCTGTATGTAAATGCTGCCTTAATATTTTTTCCTCGCTAAAGATTTACGAGTCAAATCAATGGTGTGATATTTAAATTTGTTATGGAAATGCCAGATGTGGTGGCCACACCTGCCATCTCAGCATGCAGGAAGTTGGCATCCTGAGAGTGCCAGAATAGACTGAGGGCACAATCCAAAGCTGAATTGGCTGTACCACTAAACACCAAATAACCAACAGACAAAATCACAACTTTAGTATTTATTTTAAGTTTTACTTTTATTTGTTCCTTTATGTATCTATTTCGTTTTTTGAGACATGTTCTCTCTGTGTATCTCAGGCCTGCCTAGAATTGTCAGTCTCCTGCCTCAGCTTCCCAAAAAGCTTTTAATTTTTTTTTTAGCTTTATTTAGTGTACTTAGGGGCTTTGCCTGCATGTATGTCTGTATGAGGGTCAGATCCCCTGGAACTGGAATTACAGACAGTTGTGAACTGCCATGTGGGTGCTGGGAATGGAACCTGGTCCTTTGGAAGAGCAGCCAGTGCTCTTAACCACTGAGCCATCCCTCCAGCCCTGACTTTTAAATTCTTAAAAGGAGGAGTCAACACTGGTCTTCAGAGTATCTGAGATGATATTATGGTAGTTGAAAAGTCTGCATTTATAGTAAAATGAAAGTGGTTTTGACATTGCGTCTTTGATACCGTTGTTGTAGGTTCCTTTACATCTGGAATAACAGATAAAGCAGTTCCAGCTGTTCTGTATGCTCCTTAGCACACATGAGGTTGGCAGCACTCATGTGATCGTCTGCCTTGATTGTACTGTCCTGAAAACCTGTTAAATGCTATTTGCTTTAAGTGTGTGTGTGTGTGTGTGTGTGTGTGTGTGTGTAAAAGCAGTGTGTGGGGGAAGGGATGCATATTCCTGTGCTTTGAGACCAGAGGACAACCTTGGACGTTGTTCCTCCTCGGACACCATCCCCTTTGTTTTTGAGACAGTATCTCTCACAGCCTGGCTCTGATTGGCCAGTGATCCCATGGGCCTTCCTGTTTCTACCTCTACAGTGCTGGGATTTCAAGGATGTGCCTCCACACCCAGACTTTATCTGGGTTCTAGGTAGGGACTGGACATGGGTCTCCATTGCTTGTACAGGAAGTACTTTGGTTAGCATTTTATAGACTGGGCTATTTTCATATCCCATAGTTTAACAACAACAACAACAACCTCAGCAGCCTAAAGAGAAAGACATGGAGCTAAAACTATCTAGTTTCCTGGTGACGACATCTGGAAAATCTGTAGTAACTAGTTAAAAAGTAATTTTACTGCTGTCTCTACTTGGCAGCCATTTTCCTCCACATGATTAATTATTCCTTAATCGCTATTATGAATAGAGGTTGTACATGCTAATTTCAAATGCTTCAACTTAATTAGTAATTCACTCTGACCTTTAAAACCCATACTCTGTAATCTTCAAATTATATGAGTAAGGGAAAAAAAATCTAATTTCGCTTCTCCCCTTCCGCCCTTCCGACTGCCATTAGTAAGTGATCTGCAACCTGCTGTCACTTGGAGTCAGCTGGGGTTGTCCCAAGTCCAAGCTCAAGTTCTCTTGTGGTCACCAGAGTCAGTGAGAGTGAAGGGTGACTCAGCTTCTGAGACTGAGGTAATGCAAACACAGCACCGTTTTTACTTAAAGAAAATGAAGACAGCTGCACACAATAATGGATTCCCTTATAATTCTCTGTTGAGAACTCTCGACAAGCTCCCCATGGGGGTCGCTGCTCTTCAAATAGTAGAATGTCCAGCAGGAAGACCACCAGCAATACAAGCCTTCCTCACATCGGCTAAGGAAGGATCTGCTTTGAGGTCATTGGGGTTCTGCGTGTGGATGCATGGGTGCTCAACCATCTCAAAACTGTCTTCTTGTTGACTGAAATGGACTTCATTGTTAATCATGGCTGTCGAGTCAGTACTCTGCTACTAGCGTTTCAAGAGTTGTTATTCTCTCTGCCTTGGTCTGCTCCTCCTGTACAAGTCTCTGAGAAGCTAATAATCGGAGGTATGATCAGCTTCCCTAATGTTACTAACACCATAGGTGTGCAGGCAAGGACACAGGAGTATTCCCCTATTTTTATCAATAATATAATCTGACTGGGTTGAGAATAGTGTAATGGAGGATGGCCAGAGTGCAGGAAAGATAACTTCCACTCATCACCTAGACAGAATTCATTGGGTTCTGGGAGAAAGCACACCATGGGAAAAAGGATACCATGCCCTTGATTCCCAACCTGCAGCTCTCAGTACATCGGGGCCCTCATATGTCTCGATTCTATATGTGAATGCTGCCGGTTCCCTCCTCATTTCCTGCTGTGGATTTGTGGCCACAGGCCTTGAGCATCACATTGTCAGAAGTTTGGGGTGCTTTGTCTACCTTTGTTTTCTAGAGAATGCTGGTTTTCCAAATGTGACCAATAACAAGGAGTTAAAAGCAGCATGTTGAGAGCCCATGCCATTTGGGAGGCATGTCGGTAAACCATGAAGTTCCCATTTGCTCCCTGGAAGTCATTTTTTAAATATTTATTCTTCATTTATCATTTTATAACCATTTAATTTGAAGCCAATCATATGCCTATGCCTACTTTCTTTATATAACTTCTCTCATTGCTCTTGAGTTTAGAGAGTTTAACCCTAAAAGCTAGCCAAATGTCCTCTGTGAAATCTCATGGGGTCCTGTGATGAAAGGGGGTCTCCTGGGACTCAGGGTTCAACCAGACTTTGGCGCTTGACTGTACTAGGAGAGAAAGAGCCAAATATTGAGATTTCATCTTTGTTTTTTTTTTTCCTCACCACACTCACTGGCTCCAAAACAGCCCTGCCCCATGTTCTTCCCCTCCCGACTTCATAGTCAGGTGTTCTCATCACGGCTCCTCTCCACGGCTGTAGTGCACAAAAGGGACCTTTCCTCTTTTAGATAACTGCTATTATCTCAGTTATTGCTAGTATTTAAAAAGTACTAATCATTTTCCTTTGAAGTTATCTTCTTTAGCTCAACATCTGAGAAGGGAAATGGGAACTCCTGAAAGGGAAAGAAATTTAAAATTTTTAAGTGATTAATGATAATCAAAATTAAAACAAGTGTGTGAGAGGAGTGAGTGTGGGGTGTGCTGTGGGATGTTCTGTATGTCCTGTGGGAGCCCTTCTTGGGTTCTTTGTGGCGTTACCCAGCAGGTCCGCATAGAGGATGATTAGGACCATGGGCCTGAGTGCAGGTGTCTGAGATGGTCTGCACTTGGCTGTGCTGGGGGATGGTCTGTATGTCAAGTTGTTCTGATTGATCAATAAATAAAACCTGATCGGCTGTGGCTAGGCAGGAAGGATAGGCGGGACTAACAGAGAGGAGAAATAAAAGGACAGGAAGGCAGAAGGACTGACTGCAGCCGCCGCCATGACCAGCAGCATGTGAAGATGCCGGTGGGCCACCAGCCACGTGGCAAGGTATAGATTTATGGAAATGGACTAATTTAAGCTATAAGCACAGTTAGCAAGAAGCCTGCCACGGCCATACAGTTTGTAAACAATGTAAGTCTCTGTGTTTACTTGGTTGGGTCTGAGCGGCTGTGGGACTGGCGGGTGACAAAGATTTGTCCTGACTGTGGGCAAGGCGGAAAACTCTAGCAACAGGGGTGCACGCATGCACGTGTGCACTCATGTGCGCACACAGTTTGTCCAACTCTGGGTGACATCAAATCTCTGCTGTCAGCTTGACACACCTGGAAAGAAAGGACCTCAACTGAAGAATGGCCTCTAGCAGACTGGCCTGTGGGCATGCCTGTGTGCCATTTTCTTGATTGCTCATTGGAAGGAGGCCTCGCCCACTGTGCGGGGTGCTACCCCTAGGCAGGTAGGCCTGCACTGTGTAAGGAAGGTAGCAGCGCAAGGCAGAGCACAGCATTACTCTCTTGTCTCTGCTTCAACTCTTGCCTCTCTGTTCTTGCCTTGACTTCCCTCAGTGATGGACTGTGAGCTGTTAGCCAAATAAACTCTTTCCTGCCAATTTGCTTTTGGTTAGAATGCTTAATCACAGCAACAGAAACCTAACAAGGATAAACAGACATACTAATTTAACAACTAGTTATTAAACACAAGCAAAGGTATGCTATCGGGAAATGATAGATAAGTGTGTGTATGTGGGGTGGGGGCGGTTAGTGCATCATTATGCCAACGCTTTGTTTTAATCTTGGGATACAGTATGTATTTTTTTTTTTCTGTGCTACAGTGACTCAGTATTTAGAGTGAGGCTCAGAGAGAGTCTTCATTGTCAGTACTTAATGTTCATCTGGGGTTGGCCATAAACTCAGGATCCTCCCTCCTCAGCTTCCTCAGTGCTAAAACTATACTACCATGCTATTTAAATAGTGAGCCTTTATCCTAAAGGGAAGAGATTTCTATGGTGATGGTAGTGGTGGTGGTGATGATGGTGTGCTGGAGAGGTAGCCTGGGTGGGTCTTGGGCAACTGTACAAGACTCTACAACCCAGCTACACTCTTAGCTTGAGTTTTCTTCTGATAGATTTGAAAAGTTCTACAAACTGTCTTTCTTCCCTCTTTGTGACCATCCAACTAAGAGTTATTCAGTGTGATGGAGAGCTGAAACTGATCTTCAAAACTGTCCTGTCCATCCCCCTCATTCTGAGCATTCATTTTTAAAAATGTGATGGAATTAAAGCATACATTGGAGAGGGTTGCTGCTAGAACAACTCCAACAGGGAAGAGCTTTCCCAAGAGCAGAAAACAATGTGTTCCAGAAGCTGTCACTGTGAGTTCCAGTTATCTGTCTCCTGTCCTCTGTATACCACTACAACCACCAACCCCAGCCAGGCTGTTGCTCCACTGCCACTTCCCCTTTATCCCACAAGCCACAGGTATCTGTCCCTACAGCTCTGCCTGCCAGCTGGGCTCATAACTAGTACAGGAGCATCACACAGGTAGCGGAAGGCCCGCCATTCTGATCCCAGAGCAGC